CCCCAAAACCCCAAAACCCCAAGTACTATATCTATTAGAAATTTACTTAATTGGATTCTAAAATTAATAGATTATCATAATATTTATAATAGGATCCAAATAACGCATATTAAATGGCAACTATGATGATGAGAAAGCCTGAAAAACAGGCTTAGCAACAAAAGCAGCAACCTTAAGTATAATCCAAAGCAATGATCTAATAAGAGCAAAATGTAAATTCTGGTTAATAGCGATAAGATGAAGGTAACAAAATTAACTATGAACTTTATGCTGAAAATAAAATCTCTCTTGATGCTGAGATTTAATTTCGTCAAGAGATGAAGCAAAATCCATCTACACAAGAATAGCAAGAGTACTAGTACAGTCTGTACAATCCTCCATCAAGTACTGATTAAATATAGCAGCAATAGTTGTAACAGCAGGTGAATCAGTTGGTTATTTAGCAGTAACCGTAGTAGAATGCTTTTGATCCCTAAGAATACCGGTATCCATCACTACATACACCAGCCTCACTCTATTAAAAATATTAAGATAGTAATGATGTGACTGGATAAATTTAATATCCTTAACTCTCTCAATAGCCTTTAATTCAACAGTAGTTGTATTAAAATGATAAAATCAACATGTTTTACAATTAGTAGGAAGAGCAGCTAGCTCAGCTTAATAACGCCTAAGTAAACATCAAATTACATGAGAAAGTTTATGATGATTAGAGATCAGAGTCCTTTGTTAGAGGATCAATTATTCTTGAGGACTACTTTGAGAAATAATAGCAATAATAGAAATAATAGTAAATGAAAAATAGTACTGCTTAGATTTAAAATTAAGTTGACATGAGCAAACTTAGCCCTGCAGATAGAATCAGAATGGAAATGGAGATGCATAACTAACTGATGAAACAAAAACAGGATGCAATTAAATCTGTAGTTGCAGATAAGACAACTGCCATCAAAGAAAACCCACAAAACGTTGAAGACTTACTTGAGAAAGCACCTATGAACTATCAAAGAGAGGCAAATTACATTGTTCACTAAATTGCTTTTAATGAAACCCTTGATGGTATTAGTATTAGATACAACGTTAGACAAGATGTGATAAGAAAAGCTAATCAATTTACTGGTGATGAAATTTATATGAAAAAAGAACTTATTATACCTTTTTCTGATGGACCTCTTTACAAAGTAGAGTAAAGCTTTGTCACAGAAGAACAAAAGAAAAAGGATATGATTGATAAGATGAATGCCTTTTTAATAGTTAAGTACCAAGATTAGCAAGATTACAGAGGTGAGGCTTAATTTTACCTAGATGCCTCTGAATATAATTATGAGGCAGCCATGAAGGCATTTGAAGAAGACCTTAAGTTTGAAAAAGAATTCGACTCTAAAAACAGTGGTGGATAGAGACCCAGAAGAGGCGGAAAGAAATGATAAGAACTCAATTCTATTCATGCATTAGTTTCAGCTTCTTAATTTCATCGATTAATTCATCATTAATAACTTTGAGCACAATCTTGATCTTTGGGGTTTTGGGGTTTTGGGGTTTTGGGG